GGGCTGGGGAGCGGTCATGAGTGGCCGCTCTGCCTAGGGTCTGTGGGAAGGCCATCATCTCTTTGGCACATCAACTGCCGGGGAATGCTGGCCGTGTTTCGAGCTCTGACACACTTCCTTCCAGACCTAAGGGGGCATCATGAGTTTGTCCGCAATGATAGGAGCTGCTAGGAGCTGTGGGTATGGCCCCTGAGGGGGCACAGCTCCTAGCATCTGGTCTCTCAACTGAGGTTGTTGAGACTATACTTCAGTCCAGAGCTCCCGCCACTAGGAAACAGTATGCCTTGAAGTGGAAACTTTTCGCTTCATGGTGCGGACAGTGACTGCAGGACCCAGTCAACTGCCCAATTGGTACAGTTCTGGAGTTTCTGCAGGAGCGATTCTCCGCAGGGTTATCTCCCTCCACTCTGAAGGTATACGTGGCGGCCTTAGCTGCTTACCACGCCCTTCTGGGTGGTCAATCATTGGGAAGACACCCACTTGCCACTCGTTTCCTCCGTGGCACCCTGAGGCTGAGGCCAGTACAGCGCACCAAGGTGCCCTCATGGGACCTGGCTGTGGTTCTGGAGGGCTCATGCAATGCCCCCTTTGAACCCATAGAAGAAGTTCGGTCAAGTTGCGCAGGCTCAAGACCATCTTTCTCCTCGCTATTTCCTCACTAAAAAGGATCGGGGATCTTCAGGCACTCTCTGTTTCATGCCTGGAGTTCGCTCCAGGCATGGTTAGGGCATTCCTTTACCCGAGGGCCGGGTATGTCCCTAAGGTGCCCACTTCTTCACCAGGGCCCATAGTACTTAAGGCATTCTGTCCTCCTCCATACCAGGAAGTAGGCCAAGAAAGGCATAATCTGCTCTGTCTAGTTCGAGCACTGGACGCTTACGCACACAGAGTTGCCCCGTCGCGTAAGGCAGATCAGCTTTTTGTTTGTTTTGGTCCGCCAAAGAAGGGATTTCCGGCGACCAAGCAGACTACGGGTAGGTGGGTGGTCGAGGCCATCTCACTAGCCTACGAGTCCTCTGGCCTCCCATCACCTATGGGGGTCAGAGCGCACTCGACCAGGAGTATGGCGGCCTCCAAGGCTTTCAGCCTGGGTGTGGCCTTGCAGGACATTTGTGCTGTGGCGGGCTGGTCCTCTCCACACACTTTTGTCCGCTTTTACAACCTAGACCTGGCTTCTACCCCAGGTTCCCAAGTTCTCTCTTCGTGATGTGCTCATAGGACACACACACAGGCAGGGACTTGGTAGTATGGCGCAGTTGGTATTCTCGTTCCCAAAGCGACTCGACGCAGCTCGAGTTCCTGAAGGGGAACGTCTCTAGGTTACGTATGTAACCATGGTTCCCCGAGGGAACGAGACGCTGCGTCTCTTTGCCACACTCCCTGCATCCCTGCAGGCGCTACTTCATCGAAGCTGGGTGGCGCCCGGCCGGATGCGCTTTTATGCTTTCTGGTGCTTACGTCACCCTGCTCGTGACGTCTCGCTGCTCCATTGGACGGATTTGACACGTGCTTCAGAACGCGGTCACGCAAGGGCGTTCCCAAAGCGAATCTCGACGCAGCGTCTCGTTCCCTCAGGGAACCATGGTTACATACATAACCTAGAGATGTTTCCCAAATGCAAGAACCGATTCTGAACTGCCTGAAACAAGTCATCAGTGATTTCAGTCTGACTTCCTGCACAAACCTACGTAGGTTTGTCACAAATTTGCTTAATGATCTTTATTGGTTGCCATGTGTAGAAGACAGTATTTTCTGTGCGGCGAATGTGAAACCACTTTGCATGTACTCCCAAAGGATGAGGACTGAGGAGTCTCACCTCTCATTGTGTTCCCGTTATTTTATTCACGACTGGTTTTCAGAAACTTACAGGATCACAGCCTATAAGTATGATCCATTATTTATGTATATATTTTCTACTGAGTGTTCAAAGCACAGTTATGTGTTGTATACAGTCTACAACAAGTGCACTGCTGTAGCCCTCCGCTAACTGGCTAACTCACATTTTTGTCTTTTGTCAAATTCTTCTGCTCATCAGCTGTGAGCCCACTATTACCCATGTTGATACCTTCATTGCAAATATCAACATGTGTGTGTTTATGGCTCACAGAAACAAACCTGCGTGAGCTCATCTATAATGTCATGCTGCTCGCTGATTTGCAAACGCAGATACTCGACTTCCTGTTGCTCGTGGGCGTGACTCAGGTCCGTTAGAGACGTGTGTCTCTTCAGCCCACCCGGCTGCAAGTTCTGCTGGGATTTCTCTTTCTGAGGAAACACAGCGACAGAGATTTACTCTATAAACATTGTTTAAGTTTAAGTACAAATGTTCAATGTTTATTAAATGAATTCTGAATAAAAATACTTATCAAAATTTTATAACTTTCTTCACATGCTGAATAAAATTAATAATTTCTTTTAAAAAAGTAAAGGCAAGGCAAGGCAAGTTATGCAGAGGTCAGACAGATTCAACCGCAATTTCAAAAATAAGTTAAGTCTGTTTTTGAAGCAATTGATAGCAACATTTTGAAAGAAATAGTACAGCACCTTAAATTGTCAAACTGCGACCTTGACACACTTCCCACATCTTTTTTCAAAAGTGTGTTAAACTGTTTAGAAGCAGATATCTTAGAAGTGGTGAACACCTCACTTCTTTTTGGGACTTTTCCAAACTCCCTGAAAACTGCAGTTGTTAAGCCCCTCCTGAAAAAGAGCAATCTTGATAACATCATATTGAGTAACTGCAGACCAATATCAAATCTTCCTTTTATAGGCAAGATTATTGAAAAGGTTGTTTTTAATGAGCTTAACTACTACTTAAACTCAAAAGGATACCTGGACAATTTTCAATCTGGTTTCCGACCGCATCACAGCACAGAGACAGCACTAATAAAGATAATAAATGATATTCGCTTAAATTCTGATTCTGGCAAAGTATCAGTGCTGGTAGTGTACTACTAGATCTCAGAGCTGCGTTTGACACTGTCAATCATAACATACTTCTAGAGAGACTGGAAAACTGCGTCTGGCTTTCTGGGATGGTAATCAAATGGTTCAGGTCATACTTACAGGTCGTGGCCTAATGGTTAGAGTCGGACTCGTAACCCAAAGGTTGCAGGTTCGAGTCTCGTACTGACAGGGATTGTAGGTGGGGGGAGTGAATGTACAGCGCTCCCTCCCACCTTCAATACTACGACTGAGGTGCCCTTGAGCAAGGCACCGAACCCCCGCAGCATAAATGGCTGCCCACTGCTCCGGGTGTGTGTTCATGGTGTGTGTGTGTTCACTGCTGTGTGTGTGCACTTTGGATGGGTTGAATGCAGAGCACTAATTCCAAGTATGGGTCACCATACTTGGCCACATGTCACGTCACTTAGAAGGGAGAGGTTATTATTGGTGCTTTTCCACCGCATGGTACGACTCGGCTCGCGTTTCCACTGCAGTTTAGTACCGCTTTAGAGAGGGCGGGATTATTCACATGTCGTTATAGTTGCGCCTCCTTTACTGCCGCAATTCCTAAAAAACGTTTTAATTCTGCATCGCCCCATACTGGATCCACTCCTCTGCTATCAACGAGAGGAACGTCTGTACTTCCTCAACAGACCACAAAACCATTTTTTGGTTGTTAAAAAAGGTGCGCTCGTTCAAAACAGTTGCATTCGATCCTTCCGGCTGTGCTGATTTAAATCCAACGTTAGCAGTTCTCCCTGCGTTCCATTCGGAAGGACTCATCCCTATGCCCTAATCCCTTCAAAGGGTTTACCCTCTGGAGTGAGAGCTTCAAAGGGTTGAAGGGTGTAGGGGACCAAACAACTGTTTCTTGAAGTGCCCTTCTGCGTCATAATCACGTGCCCACACGGAGGCGCCGTCATCATGCAAAGAATCTGCGCAAAGGCTCATGGGAGCCCGAAGTATCCATAGTTGTACCCTTCGAAATCCTTCATTCCGAAGGGCCCTTTCAAGTGGCCAGTTTTGAGCACTTCGGTTTGGAACGACCCTTTAATATGGCGGCCATGATTGTTTTCACTACGAAGTGCCCTTCATAGGGCGATATATCCCATTTGGAACGCACCGTCTACTCTGTTGTGTTTGTGTCGCAAGTTCAGTGACGCAGGTAGTGGCGATTCTCTCCGGCCAGTCAGTAATCAGTTTACACGTCACGTTTTGGTAACGGTAACCGTGCCGTACCATGCAGTGGAAAAGCGCCATATGTGACTGTGTATAGGAGAGCATAAGTCTAAGTGGACGTCCATGAAATGCAGAGTCCCACAAGGATCAATTCTTGCACCGCTCTTGTTTAGCCTGTATATGCTCCCACTAAGTCAAATAAAGAGAAATAACCAAATTGCCTATCACAGCTATGCAGATGACACCCAGATTTACCTAGCCTTATCGCCAAATGACAACAGCCCCATTGACTCCCTCTGCCAATGCATTTATGAAATAAACAGTTGGATGTGCCAAAACTTTCTTCAGTTAAACAAGGAGAAAACTGAAGTCATTACATTTGGAAACAAAGATGAAGTTCTTAAGGTGAATGCATACCTTGACTCTAGGGGTCAAACACCTAAAAATCAAGTCAAGAATCTTGGGGTGATTCTGGAGTCAGACCTTAGTTTCAGTAGTCATGTCAAAGCAGTAACTAAATCAGCATACTATCATCTAAAAAACATTGCTAGAATTAGATGTTTCGTTTCCAGTCAAGACTTGGAGAAACTTGTTCATGCCTTTATCACAAGCAGGGTGGACTATTGTAATGGTCTCCTCACCGGCCTTCCCAAGAAGACCATTAGACAGCTGCAGCTCATCCAGAACGCTGCTGCCAGAATTCTGACTAGAACCAGAAAATCTGAGCATATCACACCAGTCCTGAGGTCCTTACACTGGCTTTCAGTTACATTTAGGATTGATTTTAAAGTACTTTTACTCGTTTATAAATCCCTCAATGGCCTAGGACCTAAATACATTGCAGATATGCTCACTGAATATAAACCTAACAGACCACTCAGATCATTAGGATCAGTTAAAAATACCAAGGGTTCACACAAAACAAGGGGAATCTGCTTTTAGTTATTATGCCGCCCGCAGTTGGAATCAGCTTCCAGAAGAGATCAGATGTGCTAAAACATTAGCCACATTTAAATCCAGACTCAAAACTCAATATGTTTAGCTGTGTATTTAATACAGTGCAATCTGTGCAAGTGCACTGTGCAATACAGTGCAATCAGTTCGGACGTAGCACAGTGCTCGAACTGATTGCACTGCATTTTATGTATAATCTTTTTCTATTCTTAACTGTTTTAATTCATTTTAAATCAATTTTAGATTATTTTAAAAGTTTTTAATTTCCTTGTTTTATTGTTGTGATTATTTATTATGATTATTTTAATTCCTTTTATGTAAAACACTTTGAATTACCATTGTGCATGAAATGTGCTATATAAATAAACTTGCCTTGCCTTCGGAGACAAAGTTTCCTTTCTGATAATGTAACAACAGCTAGGACATGATTATTAAAATCATGTCCTGTCCTACATTATTTCCCATAATTTTCCGTTTTCCCTTTAACAACAAACCTGTTCTGCGTTCTCTCTACTGAGTGTCTTCAGTTTGTCCTCCATGCGCTGTAGAGTCTGCTGCAGCTCTTCATTCTTTTTATTCAGCCGTTTATTCTTCTCCATAAGAGGCTTTATCTCTGCATCTGTTTCTCGCACTCGTTTCAGCTGTATGACAGAGAGAGACTGATCTACATACAGAATGCAAGACATTTGTGCTAAACTACAATTGGGATTTCCATAAGGATCTTATGAAAATTATCTTACAGATTTTTACAACACAAAATATAAATCTTTTGAGAACAGTGGCTTTAGTGGGTGAGAGGTCAGCAGTGAAAATGATAATGCCAAATGCAAACAATAAAATACAACTAACCGTATAATCATTCATCATTATGATAAATTAACAGAGGAGAAGATGCAGGTTAAATAATATATACAGTATAATACATTAAATGCAGGTTTGGTACATGATATATAATCTGGGTCATGAAGCGAAACCAGTTGAAAATCACAGATTTAAAACATTGTTCCCAATAATCTTTCACTATTACAGTTAAAAAACTGTTGAAAAACTGTAAACGGTTTAACATCACATGTAATTTTACTGCAAAGTATTGTCAAATGTATGTTTTTTAGAAGAAAAAATTAAAAAATTAATATAATTACCATATAATTTACTGTGAAAAAAGGGTAAAAGGACATTCCCAGAGGTCACACAAGAAAGTTCCCTTTGTGACACACCACATATGATTATATTTTACGTTTTGTTTCTTTATATTTACGTTAACAGTAAAGCTTTGTGTTTTTTAGTTAATGATTATTGCATTATTTTAGTATAATGTGTTACCCTGATGGTGCTTTGTCTGCATCACCCTGCGCATCGGATATACAGCCATGTTTATGATCAGGCCATTTGTGATGCATTCATCATGTGGCTTTCTATTGTACCACCTGGTTATCGGTACATTTTGCAAAGTATTTTGGTAGTTCGAGTAGCTTGGTATATTAACATTATATCACTTAATGAAATATTCGGTTATAAATTGTAAAATATACATACAGGCCCCAATATTCCATCCTATTACTGAAACATTGTCACGGTAATTTTTTCACTGAATTTTTGGCAATAACAGCTGCCATTTTGAACTCTAAATATAAAGGGTTAGTTCACCCAAAAATTAAAATTCTGTCATTAATTACTCACTCACATGTCGTTCTAAACCTGTAAGACCTCCGTTCATCTTCGGAACACAAATTAAGATATTTTTGATGAATTCTGAGAGCTCTCTGACCCTCCCATAGACAGCAATGTAATTACCACGATCAAGGTCCAGAAACATAGCAAGGAGATCGGTAAAATAATCCATGTGACATCAGGGGTTCAACCGTGATTTTACAAAGCTACAAGAATACTTTTTGTACGCAAAGAAAACAAAAATAACGACTTTATTCAATAATTTGTCCCCTCCGCGTCACCCTGGTGCCATTTTGGAGAATATCCACTGCACGTAAACAGGATATACTATTCTGTGTAAGCTGTGTCACGTGGATGTCACATTTTTGGGTGAACTATCCCTTTAACAGGATATTTTACAGTGTATGATTCAGATAAGATCTTATTAGATAAATTCCTAAATTCCTTTAGTTTGTTGAGAGTGTATGTGTATGTACCAGTTCATTTCTCTCATCTGACAGCAGGGTGTTTCTGTCCTCTAGTTTCCTGATGACTGCCTGCAGCTCAGCGATCTTCAGCTGAAACCTCCGTACATCCCTCTCATCCGCGTCCTATGAGTGGATAAACATACTTTATTGTGTGATGGCAAAGTTCATCATGCAGGAAAAAGTTCTCGCCATGTTAGTCCAGCTCTAATGAATGTTAATGGTCCTGATGATATAAAAGCTTTTTGTCAGATGTTTCTGATCGTAGAACTGAACAAACCTGGTTATTGACGGAGTCTGTGTTTTCCCCGAGGAATGGCGCCACCTCTCTCTTCGGACTCCCATAATGCCGCTCTGATTCCTCCTTCTGCAGCAGTAGACGCTGTGTCTGTCCCGCCTGCACACCCAGCTCTTTTTCCAGTGACTGCACCACACGATCTCTGCTCTTCAACTCGTCCATCTGACATAAACACACTTTTGAGTTCATGTTTTTTGTGGTCCAATTCACAAAATGTCCTTCCTTCAGGTCTACCTACTGTACTAATAGCAAAAATAGCATTGAGGTAATTCCTACTAATGCATATATAAATATATAAAAACTTGAAAGGGTTTGGGCCAGTAAAGACATTTACAATGTTACAAAATATTTCTATTTCAAATAAATGCTGTTATTTTGAACTTTTTATTCATCAAGGAATCCTGAAAAAAGGGTATCACAGTCTCCACAAAAATATGAAACAGCACAACTCTTTTCAACATTGATATCATAAGAAATGTTTCTTGAGCACCAAATCAACATATTATAATGATATGTGACGCTGAAGACTGATGTTATGAAGCTGAAAGCTGCAAATTCAGCTTTGCCATTACAGGAATAAATTACATTTTGAAATCATTTCAAATAGCAAACAGATATTTAAAATTGTAATAATATTTCACAATAAACAAAACCATTTAAAAAAAACTTACTGACCCCACCCTTTGAATGGTATTATACATAAACTGTTTAAAAAATGTATGTATATCAAAAAAATAAGCTTTTGGTCTGGCCAATAATTTGATGATGTACTGAACACTGATCCGGTGTCTTTAATTATAAGGGCGCTAAAATCAAATCGGTGCAAAAAAAAACTTAAATCCTGTCTATTTGTTCTTTGTCATATGAAACACTATTTGTGACTGATTGATATAAAGAATGAGTTTTTTTTATTTTGAGGGCTGTTATACATTAATATCAACTTCAGCTGATATTTGAAAGGTGATGCCAATGTCAATATTTTCTCTTCTATTCAAGCTTAATACGCAGAGACAACTGTATAAGTATGTAAGTATAAACATTTGTAGGTTGGTTCCCCACTGTGTCTTTGTTTGTTTGATCCGGAGCAACCACACTGATTCAACCAATGGCATGAGACTGGAGCGGAACTATCAGCCATTGTTTTTACAATTCTATGTGGTGGCATTCACCTGAACTTTTTTTAAATAACTCCTTCCATCCTTCTTACCAGTCTCCGGATTTCTCTCTCGCTCTCGCGTTTGATTCTATGAATCTCTTCCTGATGAGCTTGATGGGCCACCCTGAGATCGGCAGCTTTGGCTCTGTCGGCCTGCACAGCATTGGACAGCGCCTCCTCTGCCTGCCGCCGCAACGTCTTCGCCTCCTGCAGCTCCTGCGTGAGCCTGAGTTTCTCTGCCTCGTAGCTCCTGCGGGCCTCCTCTCGTGCCTCCTCCTTCAGGGCATTGCGTAGCTCGCTGCTGGCTCCGTCCCGTAAAATACACACCAGCGCCTGAAGCCGGGACAGTTCTGTCTCGCGGAGTCTTGCCGCCCGGGCCAGCTCGGTCTCGTGTTGCCGAGACAGGCTCTCTCGTGTGGCTGCCACCTCTCGCTGCTTCTCCTCATGGAGCTTGACGCGGAGTTCAGTGAGAGCGACCGAGTGCTTGTGCTGCTCAGTCTCTCGTTGGGCCCGTAACTCTTGCAAACGTTCCCGTAATTTGCCCACCTACAAATTGAGAGACAAGGTGTATACACTGACACCAACCAAGGCGAACATTGGCATTCACATTAAGGTTCTCATAATGTCACAAGTTTACCAACAAATTCCCATTTACTTCTTCAATCTGATTACTAAGGTATTATTAAAATAATGTATTTTTAAAAAAAAATGTTTATTGGGATTCCTTGGGTGAATCTTTGCTCAATTTTTGGCATTAATGGATTTAAACAATTATAGTTTTTAACATGTAAATGTCTCAAAAAAGACAAAATAATATTCTGTCCAAATTATTTACACAGATATATACTCTCGATGAACAGGCTGAAATAGGTTATACTTTATTTTAAGGTGTCATTGAAACAGTCTAACTACGCAAATAAGTACTGAGTGATATTAATTAACTACATGCACTTTCTATAGGGTTACAGTTTGGTTTCGAATTAGTTACTTGATATAATCCTATAATTTATCATCATTACTATGGTACACGCATATAGCATGTGTAACTGTCACTTTAAATTAATGTGTTAACCTGAAATATTTTAGAGCCTTTGCCTTACTGTACATACATTGCATAGTAAAGTAACCTGATAGACCTCTCAGATCATCAGGATCGAGTGTCTGCAGCTGGAATAAGCTTCCAGAAGTCAGATATGCCCCAAAGGCAGCCAGATTCAAGTCCAGACTGAAAACACTGTTTTTCCCTGTGCTCTTACTACACCTTAGTTGGCAAGCTTGCACCACTTTTCATATATCCAAATGAGTCCAATCCGATTCCAGATTCTGAAAGTTCCATTTATATGAACCCTAGACTGAAATCTGATTCACATTTTCTTTTACATGTGCATTACATGTATTCTGAACAAAACATCAGCACATGAGCAGTGTCCAGTCGTCGCGCTGAGAAGTGAAGAAAGCCACCTCGATGTCACTGGAAGGCAGACTTATTTAAGCATTCACATGCTTATTTTTGTTTCCTATCAATCAGATTACTTCAGATCTACAGCACCCCTTTCATTCGAATCAAACTCAGCCAGATAGATTGAAGTGTTTATGAAGGTGCTTCAAACTAATGATTTTCAAATGAATAGCACTTTGAATTACCATTGTGTTGTAAAATTAACTTGACTTGTATAGAGTAGGGCAAAATTAGAAAACGTATATTGAACAGTCCATTATTCTCGCAGACCTCCATCCTCTAAATTTACTGACCGGATTTGTGCCTAGCTCTTTGGCACTTGGCACATATTCTCCAGACTCTGTTTCCACCATTAGCAAATGTCTTCATATTACATCAATATTTTATAACCTTCAGGGTTTTATAATGGTTTAGAGAGAGGGACAAAACATAGTGAGCAAGCAATGAGCTAGAAAGAATTAAACTAGTTTTGCATTTAAGCCCCGTATAAAAAACATTGTTTGATTTGATTTATTTTACCAGGTCTAAAACCATGTTTGCATCATTTGATTATGTGAAATAATTCCCATAAACTGCCACATCTATCCTGGTTTTCCAGCAATGTTAAGCTGTCCCATTGTTTGACGCTTCCAGAGGGTGTGGCATGTTATCTCTTCTACTCATTATGGCCATGAAGCAATCACTGGCACAAAGAACTGCTCAGATTGGTGATGGATTTTGGGATATTTTGGGATATTTTGGGATTCATGAATTTGTGAGCGATTATGAATGCTTACATGTCTGAAAAACATTAATAGCTCCGGATTATGTTTTCTGGATCACACTGAGATGTCATAAATAAACATGAGAAGAGCACAAATGTCCAGTTTTCCAGTCCTCTCTTTTCACAAATCATAACTTGTGCCTCCTGGTATTGTACTGATACTTATGTCATTAATATGGCAACTGATGTACTGGATACTAACAACTCTGTCTGAAAAAAAAACTGATCCGATTTCATCAACTGCAGCATAATAATGGAGACAGTTCCTCTTTAAAAAAAAAAGTCTGCACTTGCACATATTCTTTTAATGATTTTGCACATTTACTGTAATTGCATATTGCTATTTGGACCCACTTAAGTATGACTTAAGTACATCTTTATATGAAATGTCATAATTACTTCTACTGTCTTGTACGGTTAAAGTGTTCTGCTAAATGTACTAACAAGCATTTATGTTAAACTAAAATATACTTTATTGTTATTTCTATTGAATTGTGTATGTCATGCATTTAAATATATTTGTAATTACACATTTGGTAATGATGAAGTTGCGGTTTAGTTTCAATTGAATTTTAAAATATGTTGACTAGAAATGTATTATTGAATAGCATTACAATACAATTCTAATCAAGTTAATGTATTTCTTTAAAGCAAGACAAAAGATTATTAAAACATATGGTTTAAAATGCAATGTAAAAGAAAAACTTTCAATTTGGCATGATTACAAAGTGCACCTTTTAAAAGTGTACTTAAGTGCCATGAAAGTGTATCTTTAAGTACACTTAAATGGCCGTTTTATGTTATTAATATTATATTATCTCCAATAATTTTTTTTTTAAATACACTTTTAGGATTTGAAGTACTACTAGTGCACAAAATCAGATTGGGTGTAATGTGAACAAAGCCATGCAGTAGATGGGCGTACCTTGCCTCTTTCCTGTTGCAGTTCATTTTGCAAGTCACTCAATCGGCTCCTCAGTTCTTCATTGGCTGCCTGTAGAGTTTCTATTTCCTGTTTTCCTCTGCTCTTTTTGGGAGGCGGGGCTGATGTGGGCGTAGTTGCAGCCATCCTGCGCAAATGCTGATTCACCAGTCAAATCCACAGTCAAATCTCACTCTAAACCTTTTGTAACACTGGAAATCGACCACACCGTCACTGGCATCTTCCTCTTCTCCTGCTGGAAACAGAAAGAGTCGGTCTGTGAGTTCAGCATCCAAAGTGACTGCACACACAGTTGTTCCACTCAGTAGCAAGGGTGTTCCCCTTACACATGCACACAAACTACAGTCAACACTGACATATCTTACACATACGGATCTGAAAACTCACATGTGCCATTTGTTCGAGATGGTCCTCACTGCAGAAAACAAGATCCAGGGGGCGTGGTTGGATCCAGATCCAACTCCTCCCACCTTACATAT